ATGAGCAACCCCACCCAATAACACTCTTTAAACATTTTAAAAATTGCTAGGGGGCATGGATTTGTAATCACAGTACTTGAGAGGTTGAAGCAGTTGAGTATTTTGGGAGACAGGGTCTCTGGCATTGTCTAGGCTGGTTGAAAAATTAAGATCCCAGTACCTACTTGATCACTGTGAATGATCTTTTGTTGTGTTCTTGGATTCAGTTTGCAAGTATTTTGAGTATTTTTTTCCATGTATGTTCTTAAGTAAAATTGGTCTCTAGTTATGTTTATCTTTTAAAATATTTTATTGATTCTTTGTGTATTTCACATCATCCTGATCCTACTCATTTCCCTGTCCCCTTGCTATTGCCTTCTGCCCTAGTACCCCACCCCACACAAAATTTAAAGTAATACAAACAAAACTAAAACACAAAACCAATCAGACAATAAAAGGAAAAAAAATCTTGGCATGGGAAATTGTAGCGTCACTCAGCGGGTCACCCAGTATACCTTTAAGTCTATACATTTTCCATTGTATTCATTGCAAGGAGTCATTGGTCTTGTTGGAAGCCTCTGACTTACAATGGTTGCTCTGCATATCTAGTATAACTTTCAGATTATTATTCACATGGACCCCGAGAGTGTGAACAAGTGCATAATTGTAGTTATATGACATTCATGAATAGGTAGAATGGGGTTTGGGAATTGCTTAGGCACTTACAGTACTTATGAAGACCTGAGATTCTCAAAACCCACGTAAAATATCCAGGTGTTGTGGCATGCAAGATGAGGATGTGGGGGTGGCTGGCCCCTAGTCTAACTTAATGGGCAACTTCTAGGCCAGTGAGGAACCCTGTGTCAGAAAACAATGGATATAGCATCCTAAGGGATAATATTTGAGGTTGCCCTCTGGCCTCAGCACGCAGGTGCACCTTCAAGTACACCTTCGCATGTGTGCACCTCTACAAACATGTAAACACAGAAGAACCTTCAAGTACACACCCTCACATGTATGCCCCTCTACAAACACATAAACACACAAGCACAGGCAAAGCTAAGTGATGATGATCCTTTGTGTAATGCCATAATGTCTCCAAAAGAGTCCCTTTAGTTTGGAATCTGATAAGGCAGACAGGATCAGGCTAAGATGCTTGCTTCAAGTTACGCTTGAAGCCATTGACAGCAGAGGCAGGACTCAAACTCAGGCCAGGCAGCTCTCACACCCAGTTCTGGAATGAAGCGGTAGAAAAACCGAGATAGCAAATGCAGATTCTCCTTTCTGTGATTTTTAACTAGTACATATGAAACATATCAGTGTAATTTAATTATGATTGGGTAACCAGAAGGCAGATTATGCTGTAAATTTAGATTAAGGAGCGTTTGTTTTCAATTAGGCTTGATAGGAAACTGCTCTGACAGTTTTCCTCTGGCCTCTGAGAAAGTTCCACATTTTTGTCCACAGGTCTGAGATGTTGGTAACATTCTTGGGCACCCTCAGTCTGGCGAAGATTCCACTGGTGGCAAAAGCTTTATCAGCACTGAGGACCCAACTGGAAGTGGCTCAGACTCCAAGGGGCTTACATCTTTTGCAGTAAGTATCTCAGGTGGTAAGTCAGTTCCAGTGTTGGCTGGTCCACTTTGGGAACATCAGTGACTCAAACACATTCCATCTTTTTGTACAGCAAACTTGTCAAGTACTGGCTTCCAATCTCAGGCTTGAACCTGTTGTGTTAGTTGGCCCTGGCCCACGGTTTTTTCCTCAGAGGGGGACATTCCTGTCTCACATATCTTCATATATATTGTTGGCTTCCATAGATCTCTCTAGATTCTTTGGTCAGAATTGCAGCACCTACTTGTTCTTGAGTCAACCCTTAGTGACATTCATTCTGGAGTTCATCTTGGAGACCATAGTGTCCTGAGGTCTGTGGCAGATGGTAGAGACTAACCAGAATTGGAAAGATTGAGAATTGAAGAAGGGAAAAGAACCCTTCACCCTGGATCCTGGTTGAAGCCTCTCACCAGCTGAGACAGGCCAAGGGGAATGGGATGTACTTAAATCCAGCTTCCCTTACTCTTGATCCAGGGGGTTTCATTCCACCAATTTAACCTCAGGTACCTCTAAGCTTCTTGTGTAAGTAAGATCGCCCATAGAATATGCTTAGCGGAATGTCTGGCATGGACTCAGCAGGCAATGGTGGTGAGTGAATGTTATCATGATTGCCCAGTGTTCCATGCACCTAGAGAAGTTGCCATACTTCAGCCAGTTCAAACCTGACTCCCTCTCTTTGTTGGTTTTAAGAGTAATTGAGTCCAGCGGAGAGGCAGCTCCCTGCGGATGACAAGACCATTGATACATGTGTTGTAACCCATCTTTGTGGGGCTTCAGTCAGATCCAGCCAACTTTACCAGTTTGTACCTTAGGAAATTGGATTGAAAATGGCCAGCAAGAAAAAGACAGAGACACAGGATAGAGTCAGGAAGGTAATCCAGTGAATACTGGGCACCCCAAGTTTACTCTTCAACATTCTTAAGTACCCTAACCAAAAATGGGGGACATGGCAAAATATTTCTTTATCAAGATACAAAGAAACAGACCTTCCTTAATTCTCCAGACATTTGGTAACGACACCTTAGACTCAATTTCTATTATCTAGCCTTGAGGGTCAGGAGTAACCATACCTCAGACCAAGTCTGTTGTTATTTAGATAAGACATCATGACCAAGATTGAAACATCCTCCAGTAGCCACACTATAAACCTTTATGTCTTATGACTTTAACCTTGGAAGAGTAAGGATGGTTTTGAACTCTCTAGATGTTAAGTGGAGATAAGCGCAGCCATCTCTGTGGGCCCTGACATGTATACCTGGTACATAGTAGGCAGACTGTTGTAACAGGCCCCAGACCTAGCACACCTGACTCCATGATGGAAGTCCATAGTTAACTGAAGTATGTCAACCCAGGACATGTTTTTTTTTTTTTTTTTTTTGGTGCTTAAAAGCCCACCCAGAGAAAGGCCTGGGGCTATCTGGAACACTCAGTGTCCTCACAAAGCCTAATAAAGACTTATATTGGTTTAAACCCATGTCTGAGCAATCTTCTCTGGTGACTGCCTCACAACTATTAGTCACCCAGCTACATTCATGATGGCTCTATTTTCTAGCAAAGACTCATCAGCGTGTCTATAAAAGGAACCCTGCCTCTACCTAGTGTTAATCCCTTGGGGAGTGTTGGAGCCAAGCTCATGAAGCCTTTTGGTCCAAACACCTGGGATGCTGCCGAGATTTGCCTGAATTGACTGGCCATGAAAAGGCAGGTGTCTTGTGCTAAGTGGTGCCAATCATGGACACTGTGGCACCTGCTGTGCTAGCTGATGGCAGAAGACCAGTCTTGCATTTCAACTTCATCAGACCAGACCTAGCAGGCCAAGCTGAGCTGCATTTGATCTGGGTACCCTCTTCCACTGAAATGGAATGCTGTATCACCCTGGCATTTCATAACTAGAATTTTAGTGACCCCCCCCCCAAAAAAAAACACTTCCCATTTCTCATCTCCAAAATTTCCAACAATCACCACGGAGGCTCATTTGTAAGATCAGAGGGTGGAGCTAACCACTAGCTAATCATACAGGTCTGGATGTCTGTACAGACGGACAGGAAATAAGGTGGCCGGTGAAGAAAGGAATATAGGTGGGTAGTGAGATGAAGGTGTCTTTGGCTCGTCCTTCTTCTGATTTCTCAGCTTTGCTACTATATCTGACTCGGGACGTTTATTAAGACACATTAAGATTTCTTTGGCTCATCCTATTTTTAGCTTTCTCTATAATGATGTTTAACCAACGAAATCATTATCTTAACGATATACAGGAAGAGTTCCTTATTTACTAGTGTGCTGGGAAAAAGTCCTTGAGCAGGGCCTTACTAGAAAGGTTTACCACGATTGTACCAATCTCATCAGTTCTAAAGGTCCTCTAGTTTTCATTATGACTTTCGTATCCATGAGTTGCCCCAAGACTAATACAACGGGTTCTTACTAGTTATTGTTCAGTTAAAGTTCCTAACTGCACAGTGTGGTTAGAATGTGTTTACGATGACATCAGTCTTCAAACATGCAGAGCCGCTTGCATTGGGACACACAGCATATTTATCTTTTGTAAATGTTTCACATATCCTTGGGAGGAATGTGTACTGTGCAATTCTTGAATTATTTTCTGTACTTCTCAGTTTTGGTGCCAAGGCTGAGAAAGGCACAAATAACAGCAGTCTGCCCCATTTAGAGCCTGTGCTGTACCTAGGGCCTGCTACGACCTTGAACTTCTGCCCCCAAGCAAAGGCTGCGAGGCCAAGGCCTGGGAGGCAAAAAAGTGGTGGTGGTGGGGTCAGCCAGCACGGGCATGATGGCTTACTGTAATCCTAACACTCAGGAGGCTGAGGCAGGGAGACAGCCAGGAGCTGGAGGTCAGCTCGGGCTACTGTGAGAGAGTTTCCTTTTTCCACCGCTTCGGCGGTTTCGCGCATTCCCGGGCACACCCTCGTTCCCAGGCGTTCCCGCAACAAGTTAGAGAACGCGCGCGCGTGCGTGCGTGGCCGGCCAGCCCTTTATCACGTAATGCTGGCCGGGGCGGGGCCAGCGGACGCAGGTCTAGACACCCGGCCTGAGCAGGGCGGGCGGGCGAGCCGGCTGCTGGGTCCCGTCTCACGTCCGAGGCGACTCATAGCTCCCGCCCCGTTTAGCCCGGCCCTTTGTGGGCCGGCCGCTTGCACCACGTGCCTTCCTGGCCGCTCCGCCCGCGGAAGCTGCTGTAAAATGTCGTGAGGGCCGTCGCCGCTTTGCGGCTGCCTCTCAGAAACAGCCCGGGAGCGCCCACCGCGGTCAGCGCTTCCTCCGGCCGAGTCCCACGGACGGACGGAGGGCGAAGGCGCTCGGCTGCGCCCCCCCGGCCTGCCCGCCGCGCCCGCCAGGGCTCCGGGCGATGTGAACGCGCGCGAGGCGGCTGCTGAGCTCCCAGGCCCGGGGTGGGGGTGGAGGAGGGCTGAGGCGGGCGGCAGGTGCCCGGGAGGCCGCCGCGGCCGGCAGCATGGAGGAGAGCATGGAGGAGGAGGAGATGCTCACCTACGAGGCGATGATGGACGACCAGAACCACAACAACTGGGAGGCCGCGGCAGACAGCTTCCGGCAGCCGCCGCCCTCGAGCCTCGCGGACCCTGGCCGAGAAGCCCCGGGGGGCCAGCTGCTGGCCGCGCCCGCGGGCTCGGTGGACAGGAAGGGCCCCAAGGAGGGGCTCGCGATGGCGCCTCCGCCCCTGCCGGAGCCCAACGGGGTGATCATGATGTTGAAGAGCTGCGACGCGGCCGCCGCGGTGACCAAGGCGGCCCCCGCCCCCACCCCCAGCTCCACCATCAACATCAACACCTCCACCTCCAAGTTCCGTGAGTCCGGCCTTTCCCCGAGCCTCGGCGGCTCCTCCAGCTCGCAGAACCCTCCCCGCCCCCGGAGCATCCAGCTCCACTTCCTTTGTTTCCAGGCCTAGGTCTCTCTCTCTTTTCCCTCTTGCCCGCCTCCCTCCCACCCTCGGTCCCTGTCTGGCCGACCAGCCCGGGCCGCTCGTTTACCTGCTCACACTCAGCCCCAGATAATGCTTCAGGCAAGATCTTTACAGCGCCTGACCATCTCTCAATGTTAGTAAGCTCTTTTCTTATGCGCCCCCTTTAAAGTTTCAACCTTACAGGTGAGAGGGGGAAACGAGTTCTTTTATTTCTTTTGCAGCCAGAGGGCAGAGAAATTTGACAACTCGTGTTCTTGTATACTTAGCCACTGTCATTTAAGCAAATCGGGAATCTGAACGTTGGCCTATATCAACACTTTGTTCCCTGCTTCGCAGTTTTGCATTCTGTCTCGGAATTCTGAGTGGTTTCATTATACAGCTGTTTTGAAGCTGATCTATAAAATCACTTTTCAGAGAAGCAATTCAAGTGGCCATACTCAGGGCCCTGCTGCATGTTGGAACTTTTTAGCGATCTACCTTAACATTCAGTTGCACGCGGAAGACACAGTTGGGTAGTGTGCTTCCATAGGTAGGAAATTAATGCGGTAGTTTTTTTTTTTTGTTTGTTTGTTTGTTTTAGCTTTGGGTGGTGGTGTGGTAAAAGGAACGTGAGCACTGTTGGTAGCCAGCGCCTTGTTAACTGCAGGTTTAAAATGACATTTGGTAGTGCAACTGGAGATTTTATTTCTAGTTATCTATTTTATTAAGCTATAACTGTAATTACCCACCTAATTGTGAAGAGAGGATTATTTGTCCTGGTGCAGATGTGTAGTCATAACCTTAGAAAAAAATTTTATGGGACTAGCTCACAACCTTACATGCCTTCAAGATATTGCTTTAGGCAAAGAACACTTGTGTGATTGTTCATAGACAAGACTATCATTTAATGTAGTTTACATGTTAAAGGTAATGTGGAGACAGTAGCAGTATTTAATTGCTAAAGGAAGTTTGGATTAATGGTTAAGTAACTTTTCCTTGACTTAAATGAGCAGAAAGAGAAGTTGTCAGCTAAGCCGAGAGCAAAAGGATTTGCCAAACCAAAAGATCACTTGAAAGGATTACTAAGTTTGGGGTGTTAGGAATGAGTCTGGGTTGATGAGCGAGTACTTGCCTAGTAGGCTGAAAAAGTTTGATCCCAGTACCTTATAAAACCTGACATGGTGGCTTAAAAGTACAGGCCCACCATTCTGGAGGTAAAGGCGGGAGGATCACAGATTTATTTCCTCAGTTGTATGTCCTGTTCAAGGCCAGCTTGTGAAACATGAGACCTTGTTAACAAAACAAAAACAAAAAAGTTAGTAAGCTATGAAGACCTGTTAAAGATTTTCCAGGGGAAAAGGTGCAAATAAATGAAAAACAAAAATAGAACGTTAGATTATTTTTAAAATAATTTTTAAATTTAAATTTGAAACAAGCTAGTTTTACATGTCAATCCCAGTTCCTGAACCCTGCCTTCCTCCCCTGTTCCCCCAACCAACCTCCCATTCTATTCCCTTTCTGCTTCTTACGGAGGGTGAGGCCTTTGAGGTTTAGGATTAGGAAGTGTGGCCTTGTTAGAAGTGTTGGCTCAGGCCTCTAATACCAGCACTCGGGAGGCCGAGGCAGGCAGATCTCTGTGAGTTCAAGACCAACCTGATGTCTACAAAGAGCTAGTTCCAGCCTAGCCTCCAAAGTCACAGAGAAACTCTCGAAACACACACACACACACACACACACACACACACACACACACACACACACACACACCCAAAAAAAAAAAACCAAAAAACAAAAAAACCCCAAAACAAAACTGTCAGTGGCAAAAGCCTATGCTAGGCCCAGTCTCTGACTTTGACAGTGATTCAGTGCCATGAATTAGTGCCACTAATTCTCCAGTGCCATGCCTCCAGCCATGCTCTCCACCATGGTGATAATGACTAAGCCCCTAATTAAATGCTTTCCTTTATAAGAATTACTGTGATCATGGTGTCACTTTACAGCAATATAGAACAATGACTAAGACAACTGGTAAAGAAATCTTTTGTATTTTCTGTGGACTTCTGTTCTCTTCTTTAATTTTGGGCCTCCATAAAAAACTTTTTGCTAATTCTTTTTTTTTTTTTTTTTTTTTTTTTTTGAGACAGGGTTTCTCTGTGTAGCCCAGGACATCCTGGAACTCACTTTGTAGATCAGGCTGGTCTAGAACTCAAGAGATTCTCCTGCCTCTGCCTCCCAAGTGCTGGGAATAACCACTGACTGGCTTGTCAATGTTTTTTAAAATTGATTTAGTCAGCATTTGCTTATCTGTAGAATATTTCTTCTAAGAATATTTTTTTTGCTGGATATATAACCCCTTCACCCCCATTATCATTTTAAATGATGTTTTTCCATTGTTTCTTGACCTTGTTTCTTTAAAATCAATTTTTATTAATTCCTTTCATGCATGCATACAATGTATTTTGGCTACATTTACCTTCTGTGCTCTCCTAACTACTTCCAGATCTCCACTTCCAAATCACCACCCTCGATCAACTTTGTGTGCTATTTTTTATAACCCACCCAGTACAGGTTGTACTGTTAAAATAAGCATAGTCTCTCCACTCATTGGAGAGCATTGTCAGTCTACCAGAGTTAGCACCCTTAAAGAAATCTGGCTTTGTCAGTAGCTCACACTAAGGGTGGCAGGTCCTGAGCCCCCTCCTTCCAGTGTCTCTTTTTTTTGAGTCAGGTTTTCTCTGTGGCTTTGGAGGCTGTCCTGGAACTAGCTCTTTTAGATTAGGCTGGTCTTGAAATGGCAGGTGTGCCTGCCTCTGCCTCCCGAGTGCTGGGATTAAAGGCATACACCACCAAGGCCTGGCCCAGTGTCTGTTTCTTATCTTGAATGTCTGAATAGTCTTTGACCCTCTCTTTGTGATGCTTCCCTCTTTTCTGGCTACTTTTTAATACTTTTTAAATCACCCACCCATCCATCCAGGGTCTCTTTATACTCACTTTGTAACTGAGGATGACCTTGAACTTGTCATGCTCCTGCCTCCACCCTGGGAGGGCTGGGATTGTGCCCAGTTAATGCCAGTTCATTATCCAGAGCTTTTGAAGCATCTTACAAACCAAACCACCACATCTCTAGCTCCGCTTTACTTTTTTAAGCATCAGCAATTTGTGATGTTTCTTGAAGGCTAGTTTGTCTAAAAGTGTTTGTGCTTAGTTTTTCTGAGCTTCCTGGATTTAGAGTTTGTCACATTATCTCACCTACCCCCCCAGTTCCATTTGGCAGATGGCTTCTCTCTCAATGAGCCCTGAATCACTGTTCACTTCCCTTTTTCTGTTTTGTTTTGTTTTTGTTTTTTCAAGATAGGGTTTCTCTGTATTGTTTTGGAACCTGTCCTGGAACTTGCTCTGTAGACCAAGCTGGCCTCGAACTCAGAGTTCCGCCTGCCTCTGCCTCCCAAGTGCTGGGATTAAAGGTGTTTGCCACCAACGACGGCTAACTCCTTTAGTTTTTATGGAATGTTACCCACCTCTTTTTCATTACTTGCTCTTCTGTGAATTCTGATTCTAGCTAGAGTCCTGAAGACATCATGAGCTCTCAGATTGATCAGCTTTCAACATGCTGGTTGAATTCATTCTGGAGCTCAGGGTTCTGCTATTGGCATTGCACTTATTTTCCTTAATAGGTGTGTTTGGACTTTGGATTAAATTCACTTGGAATTCCATAATATTAAGGACTCTTTGTAATTTTCTTGTATGTCAGCCTAGTGCCCCTGGCAGTTAAGACATGCTTTGATGGGTTTTACATGCTTTGAGTCCAAATGAGCTAGACGTTGTCCATACGCCTCCCACCATCTTCTGATCAGATTTCATAGTCCTTTTTCTCATTTCCATAACTACCTCAGCTTCCCACCAGGTTGCTTTCTGTAGAAACTTTGTCACATGTCCATAGGTGATAGTTTAACTCTTTGTGGCTGCATGCCATGTGCTACTAGAGCCCCCCCCCCCCAACATACACACAACAGTGGTCATTAGTGCCGTAAAATTTGTGAGAGAAAACCAAAAGTAGCTCTGAGCCTTTGAGCCAGGTTCCTCTGGGTAATGCCATTGACAAGTCACAGCTGAGTGAACCAACTGTGCTGTCCAGGAACTTTAGGTGTGTTATGAATATTTGGCAAGTTACAAGGATGGAAGTCTTAGCATCCCAGAGAGTGGACTGCTGCCCATGTCACCTTTCCACTCCAGTTCTGTAACTTGTCTCATCCTGAGGTTAGTGGCCAGACCCTGGAATTTGGAGTTTGACTGCCACAAACTCATGCTAGTGTTTATAGAAATGCAGCAGTATTTCAAGGCCCTTGCTTTGATTTGGCTTTCCATATTGCACTAAAGTGTGTTTTCTTGTCAGAACCTAATTTGGAAGGAAAGTGTCACTTTTTTGTTTAACTTCCCATTTAGAATTAGTGTGCTTTCTTTGAAAATAACCTCCAAATCTCTGGGGCTTACATAACAACGATTTTTTTCTTTTTCTTGCTCATATTATATTAATGGGTGAGACTGGCTGTGGCCCTTCATATCCTGTCTTATTGAGAAAAGCTTATTTTAGGTCTTATTTTGTTTTGTAGAGACATGGGAAAGAAAAACAGGATGTTTTTTTCTGTTTAGATTAGCATATGTGATGTAGCCTATCTGTAATGGCAGGTTTTGCCTGTCAACTTGACACAAGCTAAAGTCATTGGAGAGGAAGGAGCCTCCATTGAAATGTCCCCATGAGATCCAGCTGTAAGACTTTCTTAGTGATGAGGACCCAGCCCATTGTGGGTGATACCATCCCTATACCATCCCTATAAGGAAGCAGGCTGAGCATAGCCAGGTCAAGCAAGCCAGTGAACAGTACCCTTCCAGCATCCAACCCTTTTG